CATTTCCTGCAACTTTGCCGTCCGAGAGGCAAGTCATCAAGCAGGCCAGGAAACTGTTCACGCCGTCGGCAAGCAGGCCGCCCTGGATACGGGAGTCGGCATCTGGGCCCTCGATGGGCAGGCCACTGACATCGCACGAGGCCTGCAAAACATGGCAGCACGTGGCAAGTTGTGGTGCAGGCACCGCAGGCGCCTGGCCTGAATGTCACCGACCGTCTCTACCGCCGTGATCACGAAGCCCAGCAGCAGAGGGATGAAAGCTGGAGGGTAGAAGCCGATGTTGAAGGTGGTGGTCCTGCTTGCATTGGCAAGCAAGGGACTTACCGTGAATCCTTGTTATCCCCACTCGACTGATGCCCGGCAGTGTAGATCACGCAGCTTCCCAACATGTCTACAGTCGACTTTTAGGTGTATGCAGTGCGGCTGCAGTGTCAAGAAACAGCCGTGAGGTGCCAAAGGGGCGGTCCAGAGGAAGGTGAAGACGCCGGCTTGATCGATCTTGTCGCCGTTCACGTACGGCAGAGAGGTGCCATCCTCTGCGGTGTAGGAGGAGACACCCGCCACGAAGAAGCCGAAGAAGAGCGCCAAGGCAACGGAGCAGTTCTTCATGAAGGGAGAACCCACCGCCTGGATGAAGACCTGGCGGATGCTGATGCAAAACTTCCCAATAACTCTTGACTGTTTCACGTCATATAGATACAGCGACCATGTATGCTGCACCGTTTTACTACACCCATATGCATCCCTCTTGCAGCCAAGTCACCAAGAAGATCATCACGCTCAGACCCAGGCCGAAGTAGTGCACGTCTCCATAGGGCAAGGCCACGTCGCCGTTGCCGGTGCACACCTATCTATCTCTCCATCCATACATCTAACTACGAGTATCTGTCTGTGTAATGTAAGTTTAATTATACAATCGTTAAAGGGACTCACATACGATGAGTCCGCAGACATGCGGCACGAACCGGTCCCGGAATGTTTGAAGCTCTCGGTTGAATCCTATCTCCACGAATACGACGAATCGATTCAAAATATGCGGAGTCTCTCCGTTCGGGGCCTGGGGCGAACCGAAGGCCGCGGCCCGGGACATGTCGTTCTCCGCACAGAAGACGCCGCCGCCCCAGTACCTGTGGGCACGGGGCAGCGACGACAGCACAGTCATGTTCCGG